TTTTTTTTTTTTTGCCTTGTTCTTAATTCTCACATACCTCCTAGGTTATAACTGACTTTTTTTTTTTTTTTCTGGGTGAATAGGAAAATAATGCTATTTTCATTATCTTTTGCTACTTTTTCTTTTTAAAGTCTTGTATGTGTGTGAATATGTACGAGCGTGGATACACACATGTCTCAGCACTGATTTCTGAGTCAGGAGACAACCCTGGTGTCAGTTCTCCCTATCTAGCTTGTTTGAAATGGTGTCTTTTGTGATTCTCCGCTATATACAACAGGCTAGCTGGCCTACAGGATTCTGGGGATTCCTGTCTCTGCCTCCTATCTCACCGTAGGAGACCTGGGGTTACAGATGTGTGCTGCTCCAGCCTTTTGTGGGTTATGGGGATCCAGACTCAGGTCCTCATGCTTGTATGACAGTCACTTTACCCACTGAGCCATCCCTCCATTTCTGTTTTTTCTGTTTTTGGAGATGAGTGGCGTTGTGTACAAATGTGTTGTGATAAATTTACTGAGTTTATTTGCAGCCTTGACCTCTGGCCACATTGCTTTGTTATCTTACATTTACTAAATGGGCTAGCCAGTCCTATGTAAGCTCAGACTTACGTGTCTGTTGTCTTAGATCTCAGATCTTCACTTGTGTTCCTTGGGCCCATCTTTGGGTCTTACTGTAGTATTTTCATAATGGGGTCAACAGTGTTTGCCATTAGCTGTATGATAGTTTAAGATGAGAGAACTTGAGCCTGATGACCTGAGTTAGATCCCAAGGACCTAACTGGTAGCAGGAGAGAACAGACTCCTGCAAGTTGTCTGCTGCACAAGAGTATGCACGTACACACTCTCTCTCTCTCTCTCTCTCTCTCTCTCTCTCTCTCTCTCTCTCTCTCTCTAAGTAAATAAATAAATAAATAAATAATAGAAAAGATCCGAGAGCTGTTTAAGTGAAAGTAAAAAGAGAGCATTTAGGGTGACCAGAGCACTGCCCTTCTTGAATTTTGCCATGTCACTTTTCTTTGATGAAGTGGAGGTCCAACTTGAAGCTAAAAGAGACAAGGGATTTTTTTAATTCATTTTAGAATTTTTTGATCTGTAAAAGTGCAAATATTTCCTGAATCCCAAGGGGAGGAATTGGTTAACTAGGTGATAATGTATGTACCTAGTTAGATGACTCATTGTTTTTGTTTGTTTGTTTTTCTGAGTGGTCAGATTTTTGTCTTATTTCTTTAGTGGCTGGAACTTTCTTTGAGTCAGAAAACAGCACATGGCTTAGAAAGCCTCTCATCTCTAGAGCAGGCTGATTGGGCTTTATTTGGTTAATGTTAAATGGGTACAGGAGACCAATTTTTGCTGTGATGTTTAAGCTTTCAAAACTGAACCTATTTGCCCAGGGCTAGATTTAGACTAGGCTTTACCAAAATTAGTCCTGTCATAAGCCCAAGAGCTACAGTAGTTTTGTGAATGGACTTCTATAAATGCTTTATTCCTTTTGATGATAGATTTTTTACTATGAAAGGAAGCAACTGCGACTGTATTCATCTAATAGACTTTAAGGATGCTCCATCCATTAGCATACTGCCTAGCTCCTGCCTGTGTACCCATTTCACCTCTTAGTACTCCACCTCACTTATATTCTCTCCACATTTGCTTCTCAGCAGAATGCACCAAACTTGTTCTTAGCTAGGTCCCCTGTATCACTTCCTCTGCCTGAAATGTTCCGTCTCTGGTTTTTTCCTATCCTTGAGATTTCAGCTCAAATTTCAAATGTTGTAACAATCCCTCCCTAATAATCTGTTTCAAGTACCAGCCCCCCAATTTTGTCATATTATTGTTAATTCTTTCATAATTCTTAAAAAATGAGCTATTCACACAGTAAACAATTCACCCACTAGAAGTGTACAATACTAATCGCATTTAGTATTTTTGCAGAGTTGTGCAGCTGTCACTATTATCAGTTCTTTTTTAAAAAAATTTTTATTTTATGTGTATGTATGTATTACCTACATGTGTGTAAGTACACCTGTGTTGTGCAGTGCCTGCAGAGGTCAGAAGAGGGCATTGGATCACCTGGAACGAGAATTACAGACAGTTGTTAGCTGCCATGTGGGTGCTGGGAACTGAACCCCATCCTCTGCAAGAGCAGCCAATGCTGCTGACCATCTCTCCAGCCCCTTTTTTACTGTTTTTCAAGGTGGAAAAGATATTTAATGCAACTTCCGAAGTTATTCCACTTAGTTTTATACAAAAATAGTTCAATAGATAAATGAGCAAAAATTTTGAATAATTTAGAAAATAACCAGGAACAGCCTCTCTCTCTCTCTCTCTCTATATATATATACACTAAGCATCACTGATGAGGAACTGGATACAAATTAAAAATGCCCATAAGGTACTTTTTCCTTTTTTTTGGGGGGGGGGGTCTTTTCGAGACAGGGTCTCCCTGTAGTCCCAGCTGGCTTGGAACTCACTATGTAGACCAGGCTGGCCTTGAACTCACAGAGATCTGCCTGCCTCTGCCTCCCGAGTGCTGGGACTACAGGCGTGCACCACCATGCCCAGTGAAACTTTTTCTTCTTAGCCATCTCAAAATAAATTGTGTGCCCATTAGTGTTCACTGTTTTCTCAGCCTCTGTCTCCTACCCCACTTTCCCTAGGTAGTCATTAAAGTTTCTGTCTGTAAGTTTGTCTGTTCTGGACATTTGTATATTATATATATGAGTCTGGTTTCTTTTGATTAATGTTACCAAGGTTTGTCCAGACTGTAGCATGCATCATTTAATTCTTTATACGGCCAAATAGTACTCCAGTATGTGATATATTAGTTCCCTAGTTCCAGGACAGCTATCACAGAGTACTACCAGCTGGGTAGCTTAGACCAACAGAAATGTATTGACTCAGTTCTTGAGATGAGAATGCTAAAGTTAAGTGCTGACAAAGCATGCTTCTTCTGAAACCTATAGGAAGTCTTCTGCCCACTTTCTGGTGGTTGTTGTAGTCTTTGACATTTCTTCACTTGTGCTGTATAACTCCAGTTTCTGCCTTCATTGGCATGCAGTATTCTCCCTGTGTCTTTGCACAGCCATTTTCTTGTGAGGACACCATTCACATTGCATAATGAGCTCACCCTTCTACAGCAGGATCTTTTTTTTTTTTTTTTTTGGTCTTTTTTTTTGAGACAGGGTTTCCCTGTAGTCTCAGCTGGCCTAGAGCTCAATCATGTAGACCAGGCTGGCCTCGAACTCACAGAGATCCACCTGCCTCTGCCTCCTGAGTGCTGGGATTAAAGGTGTGTGCCACCATGCCTGGCTAGGATCTTACTTTAAGTAAATGTATTTGCAAAAACCTTTCCAAATTAGTCCATACTCTAAGGTATTAGGGGTATTTCAACATATCTTTTTTCCAGACACAATTTAGCCCATACGGATATAACAAGTTTTGTTCATTCATTGATGGACATTTGGATTGTTTGCACATTTTGCCTATTGTGAATGATGCTTCTGTGGACATCTGTGGATAGGGTTTGTGTGAACTTAAATCTTTAGTTTTCTTGAGTGTATATACCTAGAATTAGAATTGTTAGATGTGATACTTTAACATTTGTGTGTATGTGTTATATGTAGGTGTTTGAGTGTGTGTACAGAACTGTGCAGGTGTGTGTGTATGTGTATACCCAGATGGGTGGAGGCCAGGAGTCGACATTGGTTTTCTTCCTTAATCATTCTACCTTATTTTTAAAATATTTTTATTTTTTAACTATAATTTTTGTTTTTTTGTGTACGAGTGTATTGCCTACATGTATGTAAGTGCACCCATGTCATGCCATGCCTGCAGAGATCAGAAGAGGGCATCAGATTCCCCTGGAACTGAGTTACAGATGGTTGTTAGCACCCATGTGGGTGTTGGGAACTGAACCCGGGTCCTCTGCAATAACAGCCAGTGCTCTTAACTGCTGAGCCATCTCTCCAGACCCTCTACCTTATTTTTTGAGACACACACTCTTACTGAACTTGGAGCTCACTGATTATTACACTGGCTAGCCAGCAAGCCCCTAGGTTCTGCCTGTCTCTGCCCCCTCAGCTCTGGGGTTACAGCCATGGTAGCTATGACTGGCTTCTGTGTGGATGCTAGGCATCTAAATTCGGGTTGTCATGCTTGTGTGGCAAGCACGTTCCTGAGCCATTTGCCCTACCTGTTTAACATTTTGAAGAACTGACCAATTATTTTTCAGAGTAACTGCTCTGTCTTAATCCCACCAACATTATATGCAGGTTTTAGTTTTTCCACATTCTTCCCAACATTTTTATTGTATCCTATTAGATGTAAATGGGTATTTTCACAGTTTAGAAAAATTTTTTTTGATTTTTTTTTTCCTATGTCTGTGTTTTGCCTACATGTTATAGGGGAGCAGGCGCTGGGCTCTCGGGCCCCCAGCGCGCACGCCTGGGCAGTGAAAGCTCCTCCGCTACTGAGGTCTACTCAGTCGATCCCGTCCCTATTTCACCCGTATACCTTCCTCAGGATGTGAGGTCCACTGGCCACTTGGACCACACGGGAAGCAT